TGAGATGGTCTCTATTTTCAAGTGGGATATATTCAAGATCATATTGTGGCTCTTGTGGAGTTATTTTAACTTCCTTCATCTTCAGCCTGAACAGTAATTTATAGTCTGTTCCATAGTCTGTCCCTGGCCTTGTTTTGGCTGCTGATATCGAGCTTTTCCAGTGTTATTTTCTCACAGGCATAGTCAATTTGATTCCTGCATATTCCATCTGGTGAGGTCCATGTTTATAGTGGTCTTTAATGTTGTTTAAAAAAAGATATTTGCAATGAATAAGTCACTAGTCTTGCAAAACTCTATCATGCGGTCTTCAGGAGCATTCCTATCACCAAGGCCATATTTTCCAATTACTATTAGTGCATCTTGATTACATGTTTGATTAATTTCAGAATGAAGAAGTTGGTTGTTGTTATTGTGTGCTTGATAAGAGTTGGTTCCAAGTCATAGTGATCCTGTATTGGCTTTCTAAATCATTATGGAAGCAGAAAGCCTCATCTTTCTTCTAAAGACTGATTGGTGGTTTAAAACTGCTGACACTTCAATTGATAGTCTCATGCATAACCCATTTGCTACCCGGCAGAAATCTTTCATTTTTCATCACTAGCTTTAGTGATTGGTGTGTAAATTTAAATAATAGTGGCATTAACTGTTCTACCTTGTAGGCATACAATTACTACTCTATCACAGACAGCATAATATTTCAAGGTAGATATTGAAATGTTCACTTTGGTGAAGAATGTGATACCATTCCTCTTCAATTTGATGTTCCCATCATAGTAAAGCACACAATTGTCTAATTCAAAATGGCAATGCCAGTCCATTTCAACTCACTAATGCCTGTGGGTTCCATTTCATTTTTAGCAACTTCCAGTTTTCCTAGATTCATACCTTATGCATTCTACATTCCAATTATTAATGGATATTCACAGCTGTTTCTTATCAGTTTGAGTTTTACCCTATTAAAAAATGAAGGTCTGAAATACTTTATTCCATTCATGTTATTATGGTCAACTACTTTTAAGAGGCAACTCTTTCCTAATAATATTTTGAATGCCTTCCAACCTCAGGGGCTCATCTTCTGGAACTATTTCAGACACTGTTCTGCTGCTATTCATAAATTTTTCAGTGTCTGCTTCTCCTTCTTTGTCTGGAAGCTCTGTTGAAATGTGTCCACCGTGGGTAACCCTGGTGGTATTTAAAATGCTAGCAGCATAGCTTCCAGCATCACAAGAACACACTAGTCATCACAGTATGACAACTTATAGCCCTTCTATTTTCAAAATTACCTGAAAAGATTAGTAAACTAGAACAATGTAAAATTTGAAAATTAAGATTAACAAGAGAACAGAGAGGGCTTCAATCAACTCGTCTCAATGTTGGATGCATTAGAATCAATGGAGAACTGTTGAAAAATACTAATATCCAGGAATACACCAGAACTTTGGATTCAAATGAGCTGGAGGATGGGTTAACAGCTCCCTGTTGTTATTGTGGATTTCTGGTCATAATGACTCATAGTCGTTAAGTGGATTCCGACTCAAATCAACTTGATTTGCCATAGCAGAACTGCTCCTTAGGCTTTCCAAGACTGTAATCTTTGCAGAAGCAGATTGCCACATCGTTCTCACTCAGAGACGCTGATTGGTTTGAACTGCCAACCTATCAGTTAGTAGCTTACCAGTTAAGAACTACACCTCCCAGGGAACTAACGCAGCAATGTTGTTGTTGTTTATTCTTAAATCCATTCCATCTCATGGCAACCCCTTGCATGAAGACTAGAACTTCTGTGTAGGATTTTCAACGCCTGTGACCTTTCAAAAGCAAATCACTAGGCCTTCTTTTTGAGGTACCTCTAGGTGGATTTGAACTACCAGTCTTTCAGTTAGTCATTCATCACTTAACCATTTGTACTACCCAGGGAATCCCTGATGGGAGAAAGGTTGTCTACTATTTTTGTCTCTGAAGGTCAGTTAGGTATCTATGTGTGCACAGTGTAATTCTCGAGACAGTTGTGTCCTTTTATGTTGGGATTTTACAGATTGTTCATATGGTTTGTCTGTCAGGCCTGATGGGCCTGCTTTTTTCTTGCTAGATAGGCTGGAGTAAAGAGTCCTGTGCAAGTTAATTTTAGGGCTGACGTCATAAGTAGCCACCAAACTCTTTCTCTCTGTGCCATGGGAAAACTGTGGGCTCAATGCTGAACTTTTTTGGGCAGGTATGCACCCATCCGCTTGAAGGCATCTGGGCTAGGCAAAGAAGGCATGACAGGGAAGAGGAGGAGAAAATGTGTAGAATCCCCCTGCACCTACTTTTGCAAATGTCATTGTGCTGCTTTTAATGCTGGTTCCCTGGGCCAGTCTGGCTGTAGCCCGGCCCTTTGAACTCTACCGGGTGTGGGGGTCAGGGGAATGGCCACAGAGGGAGTCCAATTATGAGCGATTCCTATATCGCAGTATTTTCCTTTATACCTGGATTTTTCCACTTGCATGCATGGGAAACTGACGCCCTGCACCTTATGCTAGCTCTGGTGTTGTTCCGTGAACGCAGCTTCTCTGGGTTTTCAATCCCTCCCCCGTGGAGCCTTTCCACCTAGCTCTGTCTCTGCCACCACCCAAACCAGAAGCCCCAGAAAAATCTTTGATGAGGTGAAAAAATGTGAACTTGTTCATTACAGATTAGTAAGCAAGCACAAGTAAACCTGTGCTTACCTTGCTATTTGACTAAGAGAACCCTGTCCATTTTCTTACTCCTGTCACTCTCATAAACACTGTTCAAAATCTTCAGAATAATTTGTCTCAAACACTTCTTTTTTGCAATTTAAAGCAACAAACATCTATTATTGTAGTTTCTGTGGTCAGGAATTCAGGAATGGCTTAGCTGAGGGGTTCAGGTGCAGCTTCTTGAGAGCCTGAAGTTACCTGAAGCCTTGGCCAGGCACACGTTTTTTTTTTTGCCTCATGCAACTGTAAATGGCACCGAACAGCCAGAACCAATTACCATTGAGTCACAGGCTCCCTATGTGTGTTGGAGTAGAACTGTGCTCCATAGTGTTTTTAATGGCTGAGTTTTGGGAAGCAGACTCCAAGCCTTTCTTCTGAGTGGACTCAAACTGTCAACCTTTCAGTTAGCAGTAGAGTGTGTGTTAATCGATGGCACCACTCAAGGACTTCTGTTGCCTGCTTCAGTCTCAACACTCAATTTGATTTCATTCTACCTTTCCAAGTTGGTCCCTTGACCTCTTCAACATCTTCCTATTCCATTAACCAGATCTACTCACTTTTCCACAAATATTCATGGAGTTTTTGCTTCCTATGTTGTAGTCTTGACTTCCCAATGTGTTTGCAAGCTCTTTGAGGGAAAGGATCTATGTCTTTTAAAATTTTATTTATCTTCTCTTCAGGACCTAGTGTGAGTTATATGGTAACCAATCAAAGCCAGTCTACCTGATTCAGTTAATAGTTTACCCTGAACTATACAAAGAACAGCACCAGCCACAATTAGATACCTAATAAGGATTTTGTTTTGAGCTAATGGTGATCTCCAAATTGGAACGTATCTTGGTGTGTTTTTTCTAATGTCAGTCTTGATAATAATAGTCTCAAGATAACCTGATGTAATGGAGTTTGAAAATGTCAGCTATGGCACTTATTAACTGTGTGACCCTGGATAGGGGTCTTTATTTAAAAGCACATATAAAAATGTGATGATTTCTTAATTACAATAGAAAGATGAGCATGGGGACCTCTGAGTGGTGTGAGGATTCCATTATGCAAACACATACATTGTTTTTTCTAACATAATAAATGACTGTGAAAGACATTCAATACATGCATGCTTTTATTACAGAAACTTTGAAGACTCTATTATTTTTTATTCTATTCATTTTTTCTCAGTTCAGAAACTCCATTTCTGATTTTCATTATATTATATAACCTACTTTGAAATGAAATATGTTTTGATAGTGAGAATGTGGTAGGCATCATATAAACAAAGCAGCTTTTTTTCTCTTTTTGTAATCTGTCTGGATTATAAAAAGTACTAATAAAATAAGACAAATTACTCAGAGTTTTGGGCTAAGAATGAGGACCAAAAGGGAAGAAGAGAACGTGTGCTTATGTTGCTGGTGGAAACATGGCCCACTAACCCTTGATGTCCTGGTGTGGCGCTGTGGAAAAAGCACTGAACTGCTAACCTCAGGGTGATGGTTCAGGTGCTCCTCAGAAACCGTCTCAGTGTTGCTATGAGTTGAAAGTGACTCAATGTCACACAACCAAAATAATTCCTGATTTAAGGAACCTCTGTGGCACTGTGGTTAAGTGCTTGGTAGCTAGAACTGAAAGATTATGGAAGAAAGATGTGGCAGTCATTTTCCATAAGGGGCAATTGTATAATGTCCTATAAAATGACTTTCAGTTGAAAATGACTTGATGCAATAGTTTTTAGTTCATTTGTTTAACTGTGATTTAGAAGGTCCCTGGATAATACAAGTTGTTTGTTTGATCTTCTGCTAACCTCAAGGTTGTTTGTTTGAACTCTCTAAGTGGCACTGTGGGAGAAAGCCTTGGTGATCTGCTTCCATAAATATTCTAGCCAAGAAAATTTTATGGAGTAACCCCACTTTGTAACATAGGGTCTCATCATGAGTCAAAATTGACTCCATGGCTACAGGTAACCAGTTAGCACCTTGGTGGTAGAGCAACCTGTCTAAGAGATTCCTGCCTTGCTCAGAGAGAGCTCCAGGCTAGGGCCAGGAGCTGGGCCCAGTGCACAGCAAGGGTACTGACTCTCAAGACAGCTTGAATTTGCTGCAGGATGAACATGGCTGTAAGGAGGAGCCCACTGTAAATTAACATCAAAACTGAACTTTATTTCACTCAGGAACAGAAGGATAATATGGCATTCTTCTCTACTTAAATTCCATCCCATCTTCTTGTTGTTCCAATCAGGACTGCTGTCAGAGGCCACTGGGGCTTTGCTGCCAGACGTGAAGCTTCTGTCACTGCTCAGGAGACCTCATGCTTAGCTGCTGGCTCTGCCTCTGCCTTCGGGGGTCGACCCTTGTACTCGCAAACTTTCTGTAAGTACAGTAAAACTTAATCAATCTGATATTGTTGTTCAATGAAAAAAACAATGAAGCAACTTGTTAATGAGGTTAGGCTTTTTTCCTGTCATTACTGGTTCTTGATTTAAAAGTACAGAAAATATTTGAAATGAAATAAAACTTGGAGACTCCAAATAAATTGAAATAGCAGTGCTATATATCTAAAGGCAAATGCAGCTGTTTAAATCCATGTCTTCTTTCTCTAGCCACAAACACAGAAAGGGCTATAAAATATATACTTTCCAAATATCACAACACAATGAAAGCAATCATACTATTCTCTTTTGCAAAAGTCAATGGTCTTCCAAGACCCTACCCAGAGAAGCAGTGAGACCTGAGATGGAGGCAGAGAAGATGACGTGAAGAGATGGAGTGGCTGGGGACTTGAGATCTAGAGAGGGAAAGGGACTGTGTGCTGAGACCTGGGGGGGGGGACCGGGGGGGCAGGCATGCAGGGTATA